TCTGTACCCCCTCCAACACCCCCTCTCTCCTTCTTGTACCCGTATTGACTCCAGTACCATCTCCTCCGTCCCCATCGGGGCCACACCCTCTGCGGCCTCCTCTACCATCTCCCCCGTAGTCATCGGGGTCACACCCTCCGCGACCTCTTGCACCTTCTCCCCTGCTTCCATCGAGGTCATACCCTCCGTATTATATAGAAGACTCGAATGCTGCATCCGATGGCCACAAAGAATCATCATACCCCATACCTCCTCATCCATGAAAACCACCAGTCCTTCCATCAATCCCTATTCGATAATCGCCAATCCCTCCATCATCCCCTCCATCCCAATAACCACCAGTCCGTCGCAGGCCTGCTATGTCGCCTTGTATCGCTGCAATCTCAGCATGAAGGTATCCTAAGCCAGCTCGTAGCATCGCGACCTCATCTCGTAACTCTGACATGTTGCCTCTCATCTCCGTCAAGAGTTCGAACAAATCAACCTTCGAAACATGGCGACTAGGTACAGGAGGTGATACTGGACGGCACTCCTGAAAAATAAATATTACAAACTAATAACTTAATTAAAAAACCAAAACGACAATCAACGAATTATATTTAATTAACATACTCTATCTCGATCTATGCGGGACTCGGGCATTTGAATGACTGGCACAGTTGGATGTGATCTTCTCGACAAAGGTGATACTGGACGGCCCTCCTGAAAAAAAATATTACAAATGAATAATTTAATTATAAGATCAAAGCGATATTCAATAAATTACATTCAACTAACATACCTTATCTCAATCCACGATGGATTCGGGAATCTGATCGTCATTAGCAGTTGGAACAGATAGTTCACGAATATAACTCTGACTCTCCTCCTCGATCGACGGTGCCAACTCAATGAGGACTTCAAGCTGACATTTTGACATTTCACAATTGATAACCATATATTGAGATTTTAAAAGGATATGCAACATAAATCGCAAATGTATAATACGTACCTCAAGATCGTCGATGAGAGCTGATAACTGTCTGGCAAGCGGCTTGTCTTTTGCTCGTCAGTGATGCATCAAAGGGCAGCGTGTCTCCCATCTCCTCACATACTGACTAGCCAAGATGAGGACAATTTTGTACACCCATATCTGCAGTAATTACAATTATTATATAAAGAATTTAATAAAAAAAGAGTAGATAATTCATTAACTTGAACATATACTTGCAACGCCAATGGCAATCCAAATACATAGTACTTACATTCGGACCTATTCCACTTAGGCATCGAAGACGCATAATGTATTTACAAAATATCTCCATCCCATGGATAGTTATTGAAGGTATCAATGTCATCAACAACCTCCAAATGAAAAATAAATGTCAATCAATGTCTTCTTGTGATGACACCTGAGTACACTCTTGAAGATAAGTACCAAGCCCAGCTTCAGCTTATTAGACACCTAATCGCATCCCTTGAATGCGTCTCCCAACTGCGCTAGAGTAGCTATTGTGTATCCATGAAAATATTCATTCAACAGACTTTCTAGTCCTCGAAATATGGGCCATCGCCACTTCTTCGTCTGTACATCGCAATTCAGTGATGAGGGCAAACTCGAATATGAAAAATGTCGCTACCCTGTCCCCAAGATCAAAATGGAGGGTTTCTCCGTCAACTGG